AAATAGTAACGCAAAAGGGGCGTTTGATGATTCACGCAAGCACGACTCGTGTCGTGGAATTCGCTATTTAATACGCCATGCTGGTTTCTTGCTTCGGTTTCGTTGTGCTTGACTAATTTCTTTATTCCACCGTAAAGTCGCTGCGAAATAGTCTTTTCGCACAAGGCGTGTTAAAAACTACAACACGCAACATGTTGGATCGGCCCTAGTCTGGGCTTGACCCGAGTCTGCGTTTCGGGGTGGGTCTGAGTGTGGGGGCTGTAGGGTTGGGGTTGACGTGAGTTGCTTTGGGTGTGTGTTGCAGGTCGCCTGGCGGCGACGGCGTGGCGCGCGTCGGCGCTTGGCGGGCACGCGCTGTGTCTGGCGTGGCGGGCCTGCCGGGCTCTGGGCTGGGCGTGCGGCGGGCGGCGCTGCGGCGCAGCCACTCGCCCAGCCGCGACCGAGCCTGAACCGCGCGGCCAGCGCTGCGCAAGCAGCACCACCTCGGCGAGGGGCGACTGCGGGCCTCGGCCTTGACGCCAACAAGCCTTGCCCCCTACCCGCGCCGCGCGCCGTGCTGCGCGCGCGATCTACCACGAGATCTGCGTGCAGACGGCGCTGACGGGCCGCGACGTGGCGCACGCCCTGGCGCAAAAGCTGCCCACGCCCCCACGCCCCCAGTTCGCGCCTCGCGGCGCCCCCCGGCGCAGTGTGAGCGCCAGCACCCGCAGCTCTCGGGGCCTTTCGCACGCCGCCACAGCAGGCGGCTGGCTTAAATGGAGGTCTTCCCACTGCTCCGCGGTTCCCTTTCGCACCCGCCACAGCAGGGCGTCGGCTTAAATGGAGGTCTTCCCACTTCCGCGGTCCTTTCGCATTGCCGCCACAGCAGGCGTCGGCTTATGGAGCTAACCCTTTCCCGCCGGGCGGGTTGGGGTTTCCTGCCGGCTTTCCCCAACAGCGTCGTTAAAGAGTCCCCACTGCCGCGGTTCCCTTTCGCACGCCGCCAAGCCAGGCGTCGGCTTAAAATGGAAGGTCTTCAACTGCCGCGGTCCCTTTCCACGCCCGCCACAGGCAAGGCGTCGGCTTAAAGGAGGTCTTCCCACTGCCGCGCGGGCCCTTTCGCACGCCACCAACAGCAGGGCGTCGGCTTAAATTGGAGGTTCTTCCACTGCCGGCGGTCCCATTTCGCACGCCGTCACATCAGGGCGTCGGTTAAATGGGAGGTCTTTCCCACTGCGCGTCCCTTTCGGCACGCCGCCACAGCAAGGCGTCGGCTTAAAATGGAGGTCTTCCCCACTGCCGGGGCCCTTTCGCCACGCCTGCCACAGCAGGGGCGTCGGCTTAAATGGAGGTCTTCCCACTGCCGCGGTCCCTTTCGCACGCCGCCACAGCAGGGCGTTGGCTTAAATGGAGGTTTTCCCACTGCCGAGGTCCCTTTCGCACGCCGCCACAGCAGGGCGTTGGCTTAAGTGGGGGGTCTTCCTACTGCCGCGGTCCCTTTCGTCGCTGCCGACGGGTTGGCGAACCCTTCCCCCATTGAACCTCTCCCCTCCACGCGCCCTTCGTGGCGCAACTGCTACTGAAGGAGAGTCTCGCGCACGACTGGAAAGTTGACTGAAACTGAAAGTTGAAGAAGCTGATGCATCGTGCCGAGAACAGCCACAAGGTTGGCATCGTTGTGTGCAGTACCTGGTTATCACCTGTGACCTCGTTCATTATTCATGAACTTCGAACATGTCATTGTCCGGCCGTGTTAAGTCGCCAGTTACAGGATTGTATCCAGGATGTAGCCTGACCTCTTTCGCCGGCACATAATTCCGAAACAGTCCGGGGAAAAAATAAAGCCAACATTCAAGTATTTCTGCTTCTCTGTCGAGAGGCACATCCCTGCGAAACGTTCAGGAAGCTTTGACACATTATCCCAGTTTATCACTCAGAAAATGCTTTCTAGTTTATCGTCACGACGCAGCGAAGTGGCTCAGTGAGTGCCGGCAGGCCATCCATCCTGACCGGGGTTTTTTCGTGGTTTCCCTCTGTCATAAGGCGAATGCTGTACCTAGTCCTTTTATCCCTATCACTTTATCCAGCATTGCTTGCAAAAGGCAGGAGGCCATTACCCTTAATGGGATCTTAGTAGGCTAATAACAATATCGTCACAAAGGATAATAACCCATCGTCAAGAATCTCGTACAGATGAAATATTTTAAGTTTCTCTCTTTTATTCTGAGAAGTGTGACCTTGCAATACCCTAATTCCGAACTGGGAACGTTACACGAACACGTTGTCTTGGGAGTCAAAGTACCATCCCGGATTCTGGCAGTGCATTTTTTCGAGTGGTCAAATTGACTTTTTCGAAACCTATCTAACAAAAGTAAATTAATATTTTTTGTAGTACAGTTTTATAAAGTGCATTAATATTAAAAAACAAAGAGGTCTATGAAGATTTAACATTGAATCCATTCACGAAACATAGCTGCGTTATCATCATTCAGCCTCCTTTCCGGTTAGAGCTGTCGCCATATCAAACTTCTTCGCAGTCCAAGCTCCACCCGAAAATTGATGAAGTAAAAGAGGAAAGTATGAACTATCCTCCCTTTCACATCCCTATCTCTTACAGAATCTGTGCTGCCTAACATTTCATATCATTTACTCATCACTCCTCACTCTTCCCTTCATTCTCTCGCCGGGAGAGGTGGCTCGGGGCATCGTCTGATGTCACTGCAGTGCCTCTGACCCGAAGGTCCTATGGCCCCACTCCCCACGGTGGCAGGGCTTCGGACCTAGCTCGTCAGCTGGGTCGAATTCAGTTGCTCTCTGGAGGAGAATTCTAGCGGCCGGCTGCTCTGATCGGTAGTTTCCCGTTTTTCTTCCATCAGCACCGAGCGAATGCTGGAGCAATCCCTAACGAACTAGCCACGGACCGCGCGCGATCTCACCTTTCTCTTCTTTGTCCTATCCTCTCCCATCACTCTTCCTCTTACACAAACACGCACTACACTACCACACAAGCCGTGCGACCGATAAGGAGCTTGGAAATTGCCCCGGCTGGCATGGTACCCCGCTGGTTGGAGAAACGGTATTGGGTAAACCGCGCTTGGCGACGGTAGGTCGGCGTTGGATCTCGCCATCCAGCGGGGGATCACCGCCTCCTCCCTAGGAAAACACATGCACTACACTTACGAGGCCAATGGCCGTAGCAGTTATCGCCCCCGGAATCACTAACAAACAATCAAAGATTCTTTCATTCGCTCCCTCCACGTATCTACTGCAAATTCCGCAGCTTTGAAATAGTCGAGAGTCGAGTCTCCGTGGGCGCGTGAACCCGAGGCCTCCTGCCTGAGGCGCCGCCACGACAAGAGTCGTTGAACTGACCTCTCAGCCGGTGGCTGCCCACCAACAAATGACGTCCGTGCGTGTTCGCGCTCCTTCCTGCCCTTTCACGCGCGTTTCCGCTCTCGCGGCCCTTGCGCCGCCGCCCGCCCCCTCCCAGCGCTGTGCCGAGTGCGCGTCTGCTCCGAAGAAACGTCGACTTAGCCCAGTGGAATTCGACAAAACCGGTGAAGAGAATCCCGGCGTTTTGAACTTGACGTGATTGTTTATTAGTACCTACCCGTATTGTACTAAAAATCCTGAAGTGGCGGGTGGGGATAAACCGGGTGTGGGGGGAGCGTTTCAAGGTGTTTTTTTTCTCTACTTTTTTGTATATATCTCAATAACTATCAATCCTAACGAAATTTATGTTCTATACAAAATTAAAGTTGACAAAATGTCCTACAAAAAAATTCGTGTAAATTTTTCTCGTAAAATTAACCCTTTTAAAGTTATAGGCTCGAAAACTTCTTGCTTTTATTCACCTTCCTTAGATATTTTGCTTATACGTAAAAATGAGGTTATGATATGTTCAGTACACGGAATAATTTTTTTCTTTTCAATATTGATCAATAATTTTTATTTGTATAGTTTGCGAAAAAACATGAACATTTTACTTCGTATCAAATCTTATTTTGTTAATTCTTTAGAGTATCTGAGGTTGTTGGGTCCGAGATTACTTCTTGTACGGAATCTAATAATCCATAGTTTATTTGATAGGGATTTAGTACAAATATTTGGTAAAATGTTGTGCACTGTCAACATATAAATTAAATTCCTTCGACATAAAACAGGTGATCCTTCGATAAGCAGTATTTGGTCTAATTCGACTGCGCTGATTGTCTTTAAGTCTTTATTATTCTTACGTCAGTAAAGCTATAAGTAAACTAAATACTCAACTTAGTACAACTTACACTCCGTAAATACGCATTTATCTGCACGTTGGAATAAACAGGTTCGAGTTAAAACGGCATCCATTTAGTAGAAATAGCGAAGGGAATAATTTTAAAAAGTAAATCACATGTAAAGCGCTGCGTTTCGAAACCCTTTCAGACTGCACAACATTTCTTCCTAACGTTTGAATATGTAATCTATATCTACAAGTAATAATCAACATTATATATTATTTCCTGAGTACAAAATCATGGAACTTACCATATATTCATCACAGAGCGATAGTTTTATTTACGTTATTAAGTTTGGTAAGAAACATTTACTGTTTTAATGAAAAGATGAAATCTATATCTCATTCCTCCCTCGTTCCCTCTCCCTGCAGACATAACTTCTGGTGTAGGATCTATTTATGCCCGGGATATAAAGTTTGAAATTTACATCCTTCCTCCCTCGTTTTCCTTTCTCTTTATCGTCTTCTCCGTCCCCCTTTCTCGCTTCCGGGAGTCCAAAGTCAGCGAACCGCCTTCCAGTGGCGGCTTGGGGCAGCAACGCTTTGGAGCTCTCTTGTAATTGGAAGGGCAACTATTGGGTTATTAAACGTTGGAATTGGTTTTCTGTGGCTGGGCCGGAGGGCTTTAACTCTGAATTACAAAGGCTGTCGTAGGCTTCCGCGGCCTGAAATGTGTATGATCTGAGGTGCCGACGTATTCTTCAGGGATCGAACCGGGACCTCCCGAGCGCTCCAGAGCATGTTGTAGCTGACGCTGCGCAAGCGTTGGGTCGGCCCTGTGTGCCCGTCCCCGTTTCCTTGGCAGGAGGGCGAGGGCGCGGAGGGCGAGCTGGAGCGCCGCCTGGAGGCGCTGTCGGCCAGCCACGCGCGCCTGCAGGAGGACTGCGAGCGCCAACGCCGCGAGCTGCAGGGGCTGGAGCGGCGCCTGGGCAGCGAGGCGGCGGAGAAGCAAGCCCTGCAGCGGCGCCTGGGGGCCACGCAGCGGCGCGTGCGCGCCATGTTGGGCCGCAGCCCCCGCGCCGCGCTCGCAGGTCCGACAAACCATTTCGCAACCACTCAACAGATCGAGCAGGCTTTTGTCCACTTTCCATGATCCACTGAGCAAATGCTGAGATGGCCCTTGTTTTGCTTCTGGACGGAAATGTAGCTTCACTATGCGCACGTTTTGTTCAACTCTCCTTTGCTTGTAATGGTAGGAGTAGAGGTCAGACCTAGTTTCTACTTTGTTAGCAATGCAGAAAAATCATACTTGCAATTCTTTTACCGATGCAATAATTTTTCTATAACTCAGAAACGAAATCGACAATTTTTCAAATATTACTAATCTTGCAATTTTTATAAATTTATTTTTATTTATTTATGTTAAACTTTTACTCACTATATTTACTAACTATTTATAGCAAAAATGACGGGAAGGAATTCTGGAACTCAAGAAAACGTGCGCAGATATCCCCCCCCTACGTCACATACAATTGTTTTTTTACAGAGTAAATCTAAATCTAAGTTGTCGAAAAGAAATGTTTATTTTATTGATAACTACGGTGTACATCACATGTTTATGTAGCAGAAATTTTCACTTAGAGGACCTTTCAAAATCGGAAATCTTTTGGCGTAAGGAAGTGAATCTGCTCGATGATGCGATCCCGACACTACGTTGCCATTTTGTCACAGCAGGCTACGTTAATAATATTTATGGAGTCAAATATTATATACACAATCACATACATCTTGAGTGTAGCGAGTGAAGTTACATTTATTTTTATTGTCCAGAAGCAAAACAAGGGGTCATCTCAGCATGTGCTCAAAAGGCCAGGGAAACTTAGTACTAGTACTAGTACTATACTAGTACTAGTACTAGCTACTAGTTACTATACTAGCTACTTATACTAGTACTATACTAGTACTAGTACTAGTACTATCACTAGTTACTAGTACTAGTACTAGTACTAGTACTAAATAATAAATCAAGTAGAACTTATTTTAATGTTAGAGTCATTTGATTCATAGAGTAAGTAATGACTACAAACACGAGTTCTAATTTCTTTTTCATTTTTAACTTTTTCCCATCATCGAGCCCCTTGACTTGCAGAGCCCCGTGCGGGCGCCTGGTCTGTCCATGCCTCGCTGCGATCCATAGCGATCCCTCTAAGAGGATATTGAAAGGAGTTGGATGCCAGCTTCTTTTTCGACCCAGGCTTCCTTGGAAGCCTACCTCCGACGCGAGTCGGGATCTTCCGAGCAGGCGCGCCTCGCGAGGGGTCCCCTGATGCGCCTGGGGTGTGACTAACTTTCCCCGCCAATGTCGATCTCAATTATTTATACGTCTGGGCTATCTGACTGGGAGAAAGTGAGATGTCGTTTGGGAGAAATATTGTCGGAGTGATTTACTTTAGCCGGGCATCCTCCAGGATTCTTTTACATGCCACAAGTGTGACATGCCTACTGGGGGTTTTCAGCCCTTCGAAAAAGAAAGACTCTTATATCATGGCCCTCGTAACGAAAAAGTGGATAATTCTAGTCGCTAAATTTAGAAAAAAATCCTCTAACATGCAGTGTAGTCAGAATCTGTTTTGTAGGTTCTTGATACCGAACACTCGAATGACAGCAAAATGTCTGTCGCCGAGCATTGAATTTGAAACCGAAATTTTAATTTTGGGTGGTACTTTACATAAAGCCCCTGAGACTGTTTCAAAATTAAAGAAAAGAAAAAAAAGGCTCCATAGTCTTTGATTAACTTTTGTTGTTGGATAGTGTAAAGGATGTTTAAGATAATGGTGCAGATCTCATGTTCCTTGAATACCCTGAGTTTTCGAAAATTGCAAAAGTTCAGCATTTATTCGGCGTCTTCCTGCCACTAAAATATTAAAGATAAAGATTTTTTTCCCTTAATGAAATCTGTTCCATAAGATATATTTTGAAATAAGGAGCTGTACAATTTTTCGAAAATTTGAGTTTTACAAAAAATAACTGAGATGTGTTAATTCAAAGAGAATTTGTGTATGAAGTATGTACTAGTTTCACTTTGTGTATACACTTCTGGCTGATTACTATACCTATGTTGTAGTTATAAAAACATGTGTTATAAAAACATGTGAAACTTTTGGATAATTATGTGTGTTTTTGAAGAAATGCTGAGATACTTATAATGGATATATTGCGCCTCCAATAGAAAAGTGACACAAGTGCAAAATCGTCATTTTTCAGCTAAAAGCTGATAAGAGGTTACCTAGTTCAATTACTGTCTGCTAGAAGGTGAATATTTGGTACAATCTATAACGAGTATTACAGAACTACGGAACTTAAAATTGCAATTTCTGAGAAATCAGAAACTCACGCTTGTGTCACTTTTCTATTGGAGGTGCGATATGTATACCACTATTTGTGGAAATATGGAATATCTCCACATTGCCCATAGATTCATCTAGAAATTGAACTACAAATTATAAAACATGAAATAAATTTACAAGAAATTCTTGTGAACTAAATAAACTTTGTTTTTCTTTTTGATGTTTTAGAAGACAATGATAGTCTTCAAGAACTGGAATTGCATTTGCAGACATCCGGCCGTGTGGTTATAAAACAACAACGTGAAATAAATGACTTGCAAACACTATGTCACACTTTGCAGAGGGTAAGATCGGTTATTAGCTTTATATTCCATAGACCTTGAGAATTAAACTTTTAAAATTTGTTTTCAACTCTTTGTTTAGAATGTTAATGAAATCAATATTCAATGATGTTAAGTGACAGATGGTTTACAGAGAAAACAAATACTTTAATTTTTTTGTAGTTATTAGTGTCATTCAGTTTGAAGTATTCATTATCAAAGTTGATTGCAAGAAAATCTCAATTAGAAATTAACACAATAAGTTAATTATTATTTTTGGATATCAATTTGTATCTTTATCTTCATTTCATGACGACATTTTACACTTTGTTTTTTAATTAATCCCAAAAGTATTAGAGTTAATAAGTCTACTTTAATCAGTAGTATCACAAACCTAGTTAGTGTTATTTATGAAATATGCTATTAAATTTTTATTTTTACAAATTTCATTGCAGTAACAAATTTATATTCCATTGTACTTTAGAAGTCAAAGAAAATGTATTATCCACCGATATTCCATGGTAGGTGTCTGAAATATTTAAGTATTTATGCAGATTTCTGTGGTACGCTAATTTTAACTTTTTCGCTACAGAGTAGAGAGAAAGTTACGCAATGCTGCATGGGAAGTACTTTTCGCTTAGTTTTGCGAGAAAATGTGGGAGAGAGAGTATGTGCTATTTGAGCTTAACTTTAAATTATAATTATTTTAATCCTTATCTTCCAGGACCTGGATAAAAGCTTGGCAGCTCAAAAGACTTTGCTCCAGCAACAGCAAGAAATTGAAGCTGAATCTATGGAGCTTCAAGAGTTTCTCCAAGCAGAGAAATCCACTTTAGCTGATGCCCTCAAAGATGCTGAAGCTGAGGTGAAAAAGCAAAATAGATTATTATGTTTTGGTTTTTAGTCATTAATTGATAATGTAATTTTAAGAATCCAGTCTAATGTAATGAAAGTTTCTAACAGACAAATTTATTTTGTGATTCCAAACAACTTTTGACAGTTCCCCTAACATTTTTTACTTTTTCCATTAATGCATGTGTTGTTCGATATTATTCCAAAATTTCTATTTGTTATGTTCCTCCAGTCCTTAATCCACCTTGTCTATTTTTTATAAAACTGTACTATATATTTATATATTATTTATTTGTTTCATACAAATTGTGATAACACAAAATAAATGAGAGGGTGTAATACCCATGGAGACACATTACTTCTCTGAAGTTATTTTCGCAAAGATTTAGCCTGTGTGCAAACCTGAACTAAACATTGCCTATAAAACTGAAAGTATTAAATTAAATGTACTTGGAACTAACAATGTATAAATAGGCAGAACATGAAGCTGACTCTACAACACAACAATAAATTTCAAAGTATTGACAAAAAGGTTCATAATTTCAAAAATTTTATCATAAAGTAAAATTATTAAACTAAATTAAATCTAGATCATAAAGACTTATTACGGCGTAACAAGTTACAGAGTATCAAGAAAAGATTGCACATATAAAACTGATTAAAGAATAGAACTACTATCAAATGATTTACAGGATGGTAATGGAAACATACATACTCATAAAGGCAGAATGTAAAATTGATAAACATATTTTATGACACAATAATCAATAAGGAAAAGAATTGAATTGAATTGATTTTGTTGTGTTTTTCCATTTTTTTCTTAGACTTAGCATTTGCGTCCCTTACAGATATTAATTAATAAGACCACCTTTCAGATATTAATACACATTGTATATGGCCATGATATTTCACATACAATGACTTTTAAATAATAACACAAGTAATAGCATAGGGATAATTGGTACAGTGCAGTAATACAATTTAGAATACAAATACTATAAAACAATATCAAATAATAACAGAGAAAGGGAGTAGAATATAGTAGTTAAGTAATGTTATCAATAATATACATATACAATAAAACAAATCAAATAGCAAGAATCATGTTACTGTGTAGCATTTCAATCAATAATATAAATGATACAAGTGTAATATGAAATTTTAATAGTAGAAGCGGTCTGAATAAGAATTCTTTTTATGTGCATTTGAGTAGTTGGCATGTAGTTGCCAGTATGATGAAGTGACAGTCTGAATATTATATCCAATCTTGGATTTTTTGGTGGAATATTGCTATATAGTTTTGGAATAATATACTTAAGGGTTTTTTTCTCCATAGCTATTGTTAATTTTTGTAATTTTATATTTTGTTCTTCTTGTTTTGTATGCTTTCTATACAATAGTTTTGTAATCATTGCCTTGATTTCTTATAACTTGTAGATATTTGTAAAAACCCTTTAGTGTTAGGCTGTGACTGTTTGCTAACAATTCCCTTTCGCTATATCCTGTGTTTTGTAGAGTTAGCTTTAGAGCCATAATAAATATGGCCATTACAACTATTCTTTTGTCAAGGTTATTGCTTATGTAGTCTATGACTTGAATTAGAGCTTGTTCTGTTCTTTTGCCTTACTGAAAACATATTGATTAATAGCTATTTTGTTATTGTTGGTTAGATATTGATTTCATTTTTGGGTAATATATTTTTCAAAACTTTTTTCAAGTAATTTTAATTTACTTAGCATTCCAAGCATCTGCATGACTTACTACGAGGCTAGATTTTATTCCATCAATGCCAGGGGCTTTATTAGTTTTAATTTATTTCTGATCATCTCAGCAATAGTTTTCTGAGTTCTGCATGGTTGGTAAAATCTACATTCTGTGGTCTGCTCTACTTCAATCTTATTTGTACTTTTATCTTCCTTAGTAATGCTGATTTCATTTTCTTTTATTATTGTGTCCACTTGACTTAGAAAACTGACAATAAAATTATTAATAATTTGGTTTGCAGCACTGTTTTCCCCAAAAGATTGAAGTAGTTCATCAATATTTCTGTCTTCTTTCCTATTTAATATCTTGTTCACTTCTTGCCAAATTTCCTGACTATTTTGTTCCTTATTTTTAAAGTTTGTATTGTAGTAGGCCTTTTTAGCTTTCCTTATTTTCTTGTTGTGCTTATTTCGAAATTGCTTGTAAATGGATTTGTACATTTCATTGTTTGGATTAGATTTCCATTTTTGAAGAGTCTGTCTTTTTCTTTTATCATATCATACAGTTGAATAGTCATCCAAAGTTTGTTTTTATTTGTTTTATCGGTCACATGTGTCTTTAATCCTTGTTAACATGCAACACGTTTGTTAACAACAAGTTTGTTAAGTGCACTTGTACCTACATGTAGGTTAAGAAATTTAAAATCCTTAGCAATGGTTTTTAACATCCTAAGCAACGTAAATATACAACCATCGATTCATCAAGCAAGTCAAATGTTTATTAAAATACTGGCAATGCTTTGTTGATTTACACAATTCAGAATAAAAGTAACTCATATTAGTTTTGGGGGTATTTATTGTTAATTCTAATATTAATAGTGTAATTAAAAATTGTGTATTAAGTTCATTAGCCTCATTTTCCTGGCATTTCACCAAATGAAACTCTTTTGCGGTTATCATATTTACTAACGGTTTGAAGGTGATGCCACTGGATGTCGACGCGCAAACTTCTGCATCGAATGTCATTTATTTAAGTATCTTTAGGTTCAGGAGAATTAATTACATCCATCTTTTCTCAAATCACAGTATATGAATATTTTTTAAATAGTTATATCACAAGCAACTCCCCACCATATCGTAGTAACATGCCACAGCAACAGAATTCATTTGTTTACTTTTGCAGTGTTGTTATAAATTTTTGCATAAATCGTGAGATTGTATTGTGACTGATAAAATGCTGAACATACAACGAAATGTTACAGTGTCAGTACTCCCTCGTCCAAATTAAAAATCTCGGCTTTGCTACGCTCCGCCCCGATTTTTAACTTTTGGCATGGGCAATAATAACACTCATAACATTTCTAGGTATGTTAATAGCTATTGCAGGATATCTTTGTCACTGTTAATTTTTCTTACTTCTGTGTTATTATTTTGTATTAAAGATTGTATTAATTTTTTTTTGATTGATTGTTTATAATGTTTCTTAGAAATGTATTTTCATCACTGTTTTCACATTCTGCCCATTTTTTTGTCTAATTAAATATTATTATTATTATTATTATTATTATTATTATTGTTATTATTATTATTATTATTATTATTTAAATTTTATCTACATTGAGTAAAATTATGCAATTTTCACAAGTTATATAAATTCATATTTTGGCTTTTAACCCTTTGGTCATTTTCTGTTAATTTTTCATATTACAGTCATATTTTTCCATGAATTTTTATATTTTTTGTCATATGATTATCTTTTTAATTCCATTTTTGCATACTTGTTTGGAGTCATCTCAATGAAAGTTTTTATATCTTCTATTTGTTATATAATTTCTTACAAATTTTTAAGTTGTATATAATTGTTAGCTCTTTCCTATAAATATATATGTATGTGAATTAGGAAGTAAGCCGTAGACATGGAGAAAAAGAAATCGTTTAAAGCACCAGATGCAATGGAAATGTTAGTTTAGTTTTGTTAGGTTTTGTGCAAAGGTCAATCAGTTGTATAAAATTTATTTAATAACTTTAGCAATTAAAATTGTCTTCACAGGGTACCAAAGGAGGAGGGACAAATTGCGAATATGCTAGATTTGAAAAGTATATTTTCAATATATTGGTTATATAAACAGTGGAAATATTTTGGTTTT